CAGAACTCTGTCCCCACTCCCCCCACCCAACTTCTGCACGCAGCAACCAGAGGCTCCCAGCTGGGAGGCGGGGCCGCGATTGGTGCTGGGAGCCTCTGGTCGCATGCAAAAGCCAGGTGGGGGGAGTGGCTGGGAGTCCCGGCCCCCACCCCACCCCGCCCGGCTTTTGCACGCGACCACAGGGCTCCCAGTGCTAATTGCAGCCCCACCTCCCAGTCACTCCCCCGCCCCTGCCAGGCTTCTAGCCAGAAATTCAGAAAATACCAGACATTGCACATGTCCGGTATTGTCTGAATTTTTCTACCGGACAGATGGTGCAAATATCGGACTGTCTGGTAGAAAACTAGACACCTGGCAACCCTACGAAAGGCAAGAGAACATCAAAAATCCACTGGTCTTGGGAATCTCTTGTGCTCCTGCCGGATGTTCAAATAGCTCAAGGTCTGGACTCGGGGTCATCTTCTGACAGAAGAAGGAGCTTTGACTACCAGAGCTATCTACACACCATGACCATTTGCTGGCCTTGTTGTTGTAACTATAGCCACTCCACCAATGTCTTCAACTGTTGCTACTACTGTATGGAGTGTTGCCTCCAGAATTGTTGCTGGTGCTCTTCCAACCTATGTCACCATGTTCTGCCTTATATTATTGGTTTACTCACAGTTTCTATGTGGGTCCCATAATCTCTGACACCTTGTGTAAGCTGCTGGAATAATTCATCAAAAGAAGAGTTATTCATGACTTTTTCTCAAGGGTCAGTATGTAGAATACATTACAATAATTGAATATAGATAAAAGAAACAGAGACTTTCTCAAGCTTCAAAATCTGTGGGACTCTCAGGTGTTTATTTTTTTCCGCGTGCGTGCGCTACCCGCTCTCTAGGCCAAGATGGCTCTTTTCCGGAGGCCCCTTTCTCACTCCGGCTCTTCCCACCACCCCTACTACATCCACTATTCTAGCCAAATAGCTGATACACATCCAGCCCCGGAGTTACAGAACCACTGTGGCTAGTAGGTGCTGATCACCTCCTGTTTTTCTTTTCTATGGGTGCTTGAGCACCAGAGCCCACACGGCATTTGGTGCAGCATATGAGCCTATGATGGTACTGATTACAGACTATATTATGACTCAACATTAATAAGGCAGGCAGCAGACTCAGACCTTTAGATACCAGAGCATATCACAAAACTAAACTATAAAATGCTTTTTGAAGTGTGTTCTAAACCTAATCTGTCTTCTATTCTTTAGGTGGAAATAGAACCAGTAACATCTCAAATACAAGTGATGCCAGATGTCCCAGCTTTCCAGACTTTGAATGTCTCCTGCCCTAATGGGCTGGTATTGACTTTCCTGGGTCAAAGTTCAGTAGGTTAGTTTTGTGACTCACTATAGAGACAGTAGTGTTCTGAGTCCAGGAAAGTTCTAACATTTAATATTGAAAGCAATTTCTACACATTACTGTAGAAAACAACTGTTCAAATTTGTTTCTGAAGATGAAAATGTCTGTGTAGCTGAGCAAGGCTACCCATTTATTGTAGCTGGCCTATTGGGCTACTGCAGTGATTCAGCGTGCCAACATTTTGGACATGTGCACAACTGTTCAACTTCACACTGTAGACTACAGCGATACTTGCTTGTTAGTAATCATAAGGTTGGGGTTTGGAGCAGTTTCAACTTCATTATCACTTGCAGTGTATAAAAATGGCTAGATGATGAATAGTGGTGGTTCATAGAACCTCAGCACAAAGGCTTATCATTCTGGGAGAGAATTTGATACCTCTGAGTCCAAGCCTGATGGATCATCACCAAACGAGAGAGTATGACAAGTCATGAGAGACAACTTCCTTCAGGGCTTGTGATAGGCTCTATGTATTTCTACCTGGGTTTAGCCAATTCATAGACAAGGACGTACCTAGGTGATCCCAAGGTAGGATTATAGGCTTCTAAGAAAAGCAGACTTTCCGGTCTGCCCAGTATTGGTACCTGGCCAGAATATTCCCGTTCCCCATAGTTTCAAGACTGCCCTTGCTCCTGCTTCAGTCTGCTCCTCATATTTGCTACTGCTCCAGTCAGCCCTTGCTCCTGCTCCTGCTGACCCTTGCTCATCAGCCTGAATCTCTACTGCCTCGGCTGGCCTGCCCAGCAACTCTGACAGAACAGGAGAACCTAGATTACTAGTCACCTAACCCTGAATTACCAGAATAATCTCTTATTTTCATGCCTCCATCCAACTCCCAAATCAGAATATTTACTCAAGGTATATGCAGTCATAGGGCTTGACAAGCGGCGGCGAGCCCCGCTCACCAGCCGTGCGGTTTGGCGCACTGTGCATGCGCTGATCGTGCTGCGGTGCCATGCTGTGCTAAAATCTACTTGCCACGGGCGAATAGATTGCCCTAATTGTCGAGCCCTGTGCATTCATATTAGTTTAGCATTAAATATAGGGACGAGAGTAGAGAGACTCTATGTTGAATGTCAAAATAAATAGTTTTCAGTTCAAGAGCTGCAACTGGCAACTAATCTCCTATAGGTTGGGCCCTCCCAAATTCTCATTCCATTTTGGTAATGTCATAGACATAGGATTTTAATAATCATACATTTTGTTATTTCAGATAGATAGATATAGATATGAAATTTCATGGTGTTGTAATTGTAATTATAGGGATCCTGATCCAAAAAGGAGTTGTGGGGAGGGTTGCAAGGTTATTGCAGGGATAGTGTAGTGGTTCCTTCAGAGCTGTGTAGCTGGAGAGTGGCAGCTGCTAGCCAGAAGCCCAGCTCTGAAGGCAGAGCTGCTGCCAGCAGCAGGGCAGATGAATAGTTGGCATGGTATCTTATTGCCACTCTTTACTTGTGCCTTCAGAGCTGGGCCCTCGGTCAACTATCACCAACTATTCTGTGGCCACCCAGTTCTGAAGGCAACAGCACAGAAATAAGGATGGCATGGTCACCTTTCTGCACTGCTTCTGGCAGGGTGCTGCCTTCTGAGCCAATAGCTTATGCTTTCCAGCTGCCCAGCTCTAAAAGCAGCACAAACATAAGAGCGAAAATACTATGACCCGCCCCCAAAATAACCTTGCGAGCCTCCCCCCCTGCAACTCCCTTTTGGGACAGACCCCCAATCTAAGAAACATTGGTCCCCCTCTCACCTCCTGCCCACATGAAATCTGTATAGTATAGAGTAAAAGCACACAAAAGACCATATTTCATGAGGGAGACTAGATTTCCCAGTCTGTGTTGCATTTTTCATGGTTGTGAATTTGGTTGAGCCCTACCTACAGTCTGTCTACACAATTGTCCACCACACTCATTATATAATGAACTCTACTGTCTAAGATAGACCCAAATAATGTATTTGCAGAGACTGCATCTACTTTTATGTTTGTAAAGCATCAAGAAACACGTTGGCATTCACTAAATAATAATTTTCAGTAATATTAATGCTAAAATACAAAACAGTGGGCTCTTAGAATTGCTTAGATGCTACTGCAATACTATTAATTAATACATACTTTAATTTCAGATTTGAAAGCTGAGTCTAAGGAAGCTCACACCAAGTCAGATGAAACCAACGAAAGTGAAACCAAGGCAGAAAAATCCAAGCAACTTTCTCTGGAAATCCTAGTTAGGCAGAGTTATCCCTTAAGGGTGAAGCATTCCCATCTGTACAAGGCAGTGATGAAACCAGTAGAACAGGAGGTGTCTAGGGTCATTACCAGACAAGGAACTGTCGTTAAGTACATGATTGATGGATCCACCCAGGTATAGTAAAAAGTTTGATTAGAAATGTGCCAAAGGGTTGAACTTGGTTCCCTGGGCAAAACAGGTGGTCCTAACTTGAAGTTTCTGCCTGTAGGCCGCCTGAACCATTGGGTAAAGATATGCATTACATAATTCCTAGAAAAACCACAACCGGAATAGTCCATTTGTTATAATGGCACAGAATTGGCAAGCCTATGATGTCTGAGGTTGGATGTCTGTAATGGGGTGTATAAACCCCACACTGACAGGAATGGGACTCGGGAGGCTGTGTGCACTAAGATAGCCCTGCCCTCCAGTCTTGCCAGTCACACTTGGTAGGGTGAAGAGCTTTTAAGGGAGGAAGCAGCAGTATGCAAGGGGGAAAACCCAGAGAAATGGATGACTAGAGTGGCCCGTGAAACATCAGGGGGAACACTCATGCCAGAATGGTCCCCAGCTCTGTGAGGAGCCCAGCAAAGCTCAGCACACTCCTGTTATGGAGCAACTAATACAGCTAGCCAGCAGGAGAACTCCAACAACACTGCTGCTCAAGCACCCCTGAAGGGAGGCTGTGCCTTGGACTTTTTCTGGCTTTGTATTGACACCACAAAGAGCTCAGTTTGTGTTGACCTGAGTTTTTGCTTTTTCCTTAGCAAGAGGGAAAAAAAGCAGGCCTACAAGGTGGGGGGCAGTACCAGGAGAACCCAGTGGTGGAAACTGGGCATGGTGAAGAGCCTCAAAGCAGTTAGGGAAACGTCCCAGAGAAACTCCTTTAACAATGTCATTTGAAGATTACTGCTTTGTTATTTCTTTAAGTCTAGTGTTTGTTTTCTGTTCAAATTCCATGTTGGATTGTCCAGTGGCTAAAGGACTAGATTAAGTGATGGGAGACTTGGGTCGAATTCTGTAGTCCACCATAGACTTCCTACGTGATCTTGGGGAAGTCACTTAATCTCCCTGTGCCTCCTATTCCCATCTCTAAATTGGGGATAATAGTATTTTTTGTACCTCATAGGGCAGTAGTGATGATAAATACATTAAATATGATGAGGTGATGAGATATTACAGTATTGGGAGCCATATAAGTACCTCTGAGACATCAATATATTCTACCTACTCATAATCTCTTTGAGTGATTGTAGATGTGTATTCTACTTGGGTGTCTTGGCACTAGCACATCAAGAGCCAGAGATTTTTTTCCTGCAAGAGTATCTCTTGGGGCAGTGCTCACATCCTACACCTCCTTGTGACCACTCCTAAAACCATGCAGGGCTGGCACCATCCCACCCCTTCTCAGTTCCTGCCTAGCATCTTCAACCTGAATTCAAGTTCCCCAGCCATGTTGGTTTTCGCCTCACAGTTTTTCTATTGCATCAGCAGTTTATGGCTGAGTTCTTAGTAGTATACGTAGTACTACTGTATAGTGTTATTAGTTTGTGGTGCCCAGCACTGTAGGTAATGCAGTGTTCCCTGGGCTTCAAACATTGCATGTCACTATCTCACATAGTGACTCACATACACCACTTATTGTGCCCCAGCAAAGGCCATACTAAAGAAAAGTGCAATATTTATCATTATTTTAAGAAAAGAATTCAGATGACTATAGCCGTTCACCTGATGCAACATCACAAGCAATGAGGCTTGACACCTAAACCTTTTTTGGACTGCTTGATCAGCCATCCTCAGATGTCCTCTGCCTCTGTGCTAGTTCTAAACAGCCCCCAGAAGTCTGATCTCCCTTTGATAAAGGAAAGGGGGAGTTCATCTTCTCCACATGACCTTCATAAGATGATTCATAAACCAGCCATCCAAGACTGAAGAGGGATTCATCCTCCTCTTCATTGAGTACAGGGCCTCAACCTCAGGAAAACTCAGGTACCCAGGGCTCCAGCCCATGTCTGCCCAGTACCCAGAGAGGAGGATTCCAGCTCTGTACTGTCAACTCTGGAACCATCTGTGGGACAGCCATTGAATTCAGTATCTACCAATACTACTGTGGCTCCACTGCTATCAGTGCCATTGGCCCTGCAAGCTTACATGGCAGCATCAGACTTACTGACATCAGCCTGTCTGTACTGGCATCACTGTTAACTCAGAATGTTGGAGCAGCACCGGTGCCACAGGCTGTTTCATGCCTTATGTCCTTTTCAGCTGCAGGACAAAGACTGCCCTCAGCTCCGGTACCAATGAAAAAGCAGGTACCGTCCATGTTGACTGAGCTGGTACTGACGCACACTTGCTATCAGCTCTCTCTACATCACGAAGTTTGGTATCAGCATCCTCAATATCAGTGGGTTTCTTGGGGTGGGGATCAATCAGCTCCCCAGTAGTATACCTACCCTCAGTACCAGTCCCTGCTGCAAAGCCATTTCAAGGTGTCAATCATGGCTCTGCCTATAGTGCTGACATTAACCTTACCCTGCAGGGCAATGGACAAGTCAGATTATCCCTTACCCCCATCAGGAGAAGTACTTCTGATACCCACAGATTAGTCAAACAGCGCATCACTCTCCAAATGGGAGTTCCTCAGCTCTTCTCTAATCCCATCTTGACTAAAAAGATCAAGACACGTATATGGGGTAAACATTGGTACAGAGAGCAGAGTCATTCTTGTAGTAAAGACAAATCATCTTGGCTTCCTGTGCCATACCTTATGTCTCAGGGGACCCCTAGGAACTTCTGGATGCTTTTCATTTCCACAGATTCAGATCTCCGGGGCCCTTAGCAAGAGGAGGCCCAAACCTCACAGCAGCTTATGACCAAGGCACAGAATGGCATCCATCCTCCTGAGCCACTTCCTTGAAGGAGCTTTTGCCAGAGGAGTAGCTCATGCCCCAGGAAATACCACTGGGTCCAGTGACCCCCCTCCTCATCCTCTCTGGATGATGCACTGGCCCTGAATTCAGCTTCTCCTGTTCCTGATGTTTTCAAATCCTACCAGGAATTGCTCTTTTATATTCAAGCTGAACTACTACAAGAAAATATGTACAAATTGATGGACATCCTCTAGGCAACAAACCCAGGAAGGATTGCCTTCCTGATTAACGATGCCCTTGTGCAGCCAGCCAAGACTTTATGACTGCCTGTAGTGGTCTCTCAGTGGCCTCCTTCTGAACCTCTGTGTTAGTGCATCAGTTAGGAAACAGTCAATGGCTCTGGCCTACTGGCAGGCGAAGCAATAAGTCTTTGGGCTGAGGTTGGGGCAATCACAGTCTGGGCTCCAACTCTCTGGGTGGGGCAGAGCATGAAGCAGGCTTTCATCAAAGCTTCCTAGTAAAGCCCAGACTTTCTGTAGTGGTCTCTTGGGCTCAGTCTTGCACTCTAACTCACTACGCACACACCACATCAATAGGCCTGACAGCCAAGCAAACAAGTTCTGTCCTAGGGGTCTGAGATACTGCCAGTACCCTAAACAGGAATATTTTGAGGGACCCTACACACATACAACATATATTAATAATTAATGCAGGGCCTTGAGCTGAATGAGGCCCCAGGAAATTGCTTAGTCTGCCTATACCTGGTACCAGCCCTGGTTCTACTCTCAGCCAGGGCCATAGCTGCTAAGGGAGGTTGTGGAAAGGAATGTTTATGTCTACACTGAAGGACAAGGAACCTAAAAGACTGGCCTCACTAGGGAGAAAGATTCATTCTACTGTATCTTTCCAAATGGGAATTGCCAGCCACGGAGCTCTAACCCCCTTTTTGTGAGCAAATGACATATACCTGCCCAAAGACAGATTCAATATGATAATTAACTGTGTGAATAAACTCCCAAGGGCAGCTGCACATCCCCATTAGACATTATCTAAGCCTGCTTGGTACACGGCACAGTTTGCCAGACTACACCTTCACTGCATGCCTGGTTATTGGTTGACAGATACAGGAGTCATGTTCTACTGGTGTGCAGAATATTTTGATTCAAAGTAGAAATGATTCTAGAACAAAATATGTTGCCAAGTGGAAGAGTTTTCTGATGTGGCTAATGGGAGCCTACCCTCCTGCCCCACCCCTTCTGCCCAAGGTCCAATTCCTAACCTGCCCCTTTTACCCACCCCCTGCCAGAGCCAGAAGAGACTCAAGCCCCCACCATAGTTGAAGGAGCCCCAACTGGCCTGCCTGATCTGCTCTGAACCCCAGCCCACCCATCTGAATTGCTTTGAGTCCTGGACCGTGAGGCTGAGCTGCTCCAAGCCTCAGGCCACCAGCAGTGCCTGAGCCAACCCAGACCTCAGCCTGCAGGCTCAGCTACCCAAGCTTTGTGGGAGGGGCAGAACAAAAGCCTTAATCTCCCCTGGCCTATTATACCTACCACCCAGGTTTGGGGTGAACAATAATATTATCTATTGGCTTCAAGATCCCAGCTAGTCTCAACGACTTGCTATGTTTAAAAAACTCAGGACTCTCAGTTAACTTTGTTCTAGTGCACTTGATAGTCATATCAACATCCCATCTAGAGATGCTCAACTTTCTCCCATCACATGGGATTCCTGCATTTCTAACCTGCCTTACATAACTTACCACAGAGAATCTCCTCTCAGGAACTCAGTGTAATTCTAACAGGTTTAATAAAACCTCTGTCTGAGCCCATGGGAACTTGTTCCCTGATACTCTTATGGATTATAAAAGCATTTTTAGAAGAACTGAAGAAATACAGTATTCCATAGGGATAAGGTGACCTTTAGGTTCTATTCTAAATTCCTGCCTAAGGCAATCATCTATTGATCCATTTACCAGTTTTCTTCCTGAAACTACAGTCTTACCAATAGGAGGTTACAGCATTATCAATTTGTGTGCATAGGATCAAACCATAGTCTCCCCCAAAACTACATTCATTTTACAGGGCCAAGCTATCTTGACCCAGAGATTTTCCTAATGGTGTCTGACAGCATTAAGACTTGTTACCACCTAGATAACTCAGCTATTTGAGTGCAGATTCAGGCCACTCCATAAGGGCGCAGTCTGTGACTTCCCTGAGAAACATGCTCATCTCAGAAATATGCAAAGCTGATACTTGGGATTCATTCCATCCTTTCCCTGGTGGAGCATTCAGATCTGATGCTTTGTTTTAGTGAATTCTGAGCACCCATCTCCTTACATCATGATTCATGTCACTACTTGTGAGTCACCAACAATGGAGTAGATCAGTGAAGAGGAGGAAGAGGAAGAAAAAAACAGAAACAAGAGTTACTTAATGTATAGTAACTGTGAGTCTTTGAAATAGGTTGTCCGTGAATAGTTTGTGACCTGCCCTACCAACTCCGTATAACACTTGGCACAAATACAGTACAGCAGAAATTGCTAGCTAAAATATTCCAGTCTTGAGCTCATGGAACTTGTGTGCACTGTACGCATACCTCCTTCCATGACCTGCTTGGTGCTCATGCTTGCTGCTGCCCAGATTTCCCTCTTTGGTCTCCTCAGTAACCCCACTAATGGGCCGGTTTATTCACGAATGTTGAAAATTGAAAACACGACTCCCTGTGGTGCCACGACTCTAACCAGGTCCCTCTGGGCCCCAAACAATGTCTGTCACCACAAGACAAAGTTCATGCAGTCAGCTCGGGTATCCTGTGCCACTCCTGGGCCCCTACTCAGTCCCAATCTCTTATTCTCTTCGGGTACGTCTACACTACAACGTTAATTCGAACTAACTTAGTTCGAATTAGTTAATTCGAACTAAGCTAATTCGAACTAACGGATCCAGACTAAAAAACTAGTTCGAATTAGCGTTTTGCTAATTCGAACTAGCATGTCCACATTAAGTGGACCCTGAACCGGGCTTAAGGATGGCCGGAAGCAGTGCCGGCAGAGCATCAGAGGAGGACTTAGAGCGTCGAGATGCTGTCTCAGGCTAGCCGAGGGCTGTGCTTAAAGGGACCCGACCCCCACCCCAGACAGACAGTTCTTAGGGGTGCCCCGCTTGCAAAGCAGTCCTGGCTTGGATTGCCCGGAGTACCCACATTGGGCACATCACACCACTCAGCCATCAGCCCAGCTGCACTTGCCGCAGGCTGCCATCTGGGGAGAGGGGGCAATTGGGGGGCTGCAGGAGAGCTTCCACCCCCAGAAGCCCACAGAGCCACCCCAGTCCTCCCCATCGGGGGCTCGTACCCCATTCCTCCCTCACATCCTTCCACTTACCCTTCCCTGGCCCCCCTTCTTATTGATGTACAAAATAAAGATAACGTTTCTTCCAACATTGACTCTGTCTTTATTGAACAAAACTGGGGGAGACTGGGAAAAGGAGGTGGGAGAGGGGAAGAGAAAGGCTGGGAGAAGAGAGGGCAACTAACATGATCAGGGGTTGGGAACAGGTCCCAGATGAAGAAAGGCTACAGAGACTGGGACTGTTCAGCTTAGAAAAGAGGAGACGGAGGGGGGACAGGATAGAGGTCTCTAAAAGCAGGGGTTGGGTGGAGAGGGTGCATTCAGAAAAGTTCTTCATGAGTTCCCATAAAGAAGGACTAGAGGACACCAAAGGAAAGGAATGGGTAGCAGGCTTCAAACTAGTAAGAGAAAGTTGTTCTTCACAAAGAAAATAGTTAACCTGCGGAACTCCTTGCTGCAGGAGGCTGTGAAGGCTACAACTAGAACAGAGTTTAAAGGGAAGTGAGATCAAGTCATGGAGGTTGGGTCCATGGAGTAGTCTTAGCCAGGGGGTAGGAGTGGTGTCCCTGCCCAAAGTTTGTGGAAGGCTGGAGAGGGATGGCACGAGACAAATGGCTTGGTCACTGTCTTCGGTCCATCCCCTCCAGGGTCCCTAGGGTTGGCCGCTGTCGGCAGACAGGCTACTGGGCTAGATGGACCTTTGGTCTGACCCAGGACGGCCATTGTAAGCTCAGGGCTCAGTGTCGGGGGTCTCAGTGGACCCCCTTGATTTTCATGCACACCTGCTCCTGGGTGGCCAGGCTGGCAGCTCTCCTGCCCTAGACGGCCACTTTCCTGTGCCTAGTGCGGAG